CTCGGGAGCGCGCTCTCAGCGGGGCTGGTCATCACAGGCCTGCACTCGGGAGCGCGCTCTCAGCGGGGCTGGTCATCACAGGCCTGCACTCGGGAGCGCGCTCTCAGCAGGGCTGGCTGGTCATCACAGGCCTGCTCTCGGGAGCGCGCTCTCAGCGGGGCTGGCTCATCATCACAGGCCTGCACTCAGGACAAGCGACGCACTTTTCCTGGGCCCATTTTAAGCTGTGTTGTGTCAAGCAAAAGGACAACACTAACAATGTCACTAAACAGATGGAGCCATGGCCACTTGCTTACTGTGAAACAAGAAGGGGACACATCACTGCGACCCACCTCAGCCGGGGACACCCTTCAGGTGACTCAAGTTTTCACCATTTTGCAATGTTGAGACCATGAAAGTGACAGGGTTTGGTTTTTGTTTTTTGTCGGTCAGGGGGCTTGAACTCTGGGCCTGGGCGCTGTCCCTCAGCTCTTCAGCTCAAGGCTAGCGCTCTACCACTTGAGCCACAGCGCCACTTCGGTTTCTGCTGGTTTGTTGGTTATAAGAGTCTCACTGGTCTCTCCTGCCCAGCCTGGCTTTGAACCGCGACCCTCAGATCTCAGCCTCCTGAGTAGCTGGGATGACAGGCGTGAGCCACCAGCACCGAGCTGTGCCAGGGGTTTTGATAGGAAAGTTACAATGAGGCCCGACTCGGAGAAAATGGCCGCCTGTGAGCCCCGAGCTGAGCCCTGAGGCAGGAGGGGCTCCACGCAGCCGTGCCCTGCCTGGCCTGTGTCTCTAGCTGGCGTGGCTGTGCTGTCTGACGGGGTCTCCATAAGCACCTGGCTGCATGGCCCTCCCCTCCCAGCGCGACCTTATGAGCCGGGTACCTACCGCACGCCACCGTCCAGTAGACCTGCGAGTCCTGGGTCTGGTGCAGGATGCGGTAAGGGGCCACGCGGGCACTGGAGTCCAGCACCACGTCCAGGGTGCCCACGAGGAGACCTAGGCGCAAAGCAGACAGATGTGGAGGGTGAGAGGCCGCAGAGGCGGAGTCTGCCCCCGAAGATCGCTCATCCTGAAGTACCCCAAGCTCATACAGCTTCTTCTTTCTCTGCGGCCTCCAGCCAGAAGTCTGATCTCTCAAAAGATCTTTCCAGCTCCTTCCAGAAGGCAATCATTTATTTTTCTGGCTCAGAAATACTTTCGGGAGTCAGGCACTGGTGGCTCATGCCTGTAATCCTAGCTATTCAGGAGGCTGAGATCTGAGGCTCACGGTTCAAAACCAGCCCAGACAGGAAAGCCTGTGAGACTCTTATTTCCAATAAACTACTAGAAACCTGGAAGTGGCGCTGTGGCTCAAGCGGTAGAGCGCTTGCCTTGAGCTGAAGAGCGCAGGGACAGTGCCCAGGCCTGGAGTTCAAGCCCCCAGGACCGACAAAAAAATTAAAAAGAAATACTTTTGGGCAGGGGCGCAGGGAGATTTGACAGGACTTGTTTAAACAATTCTAAGAGGCCTTCTTTTAGCAAATTACAAAACTAGGTTTGAACATGTATTTCTTTTTTTTTTTTTTAAAGGTGCTGGGGTTTGAACTGAGTATTATGCTCACTAGAAAAAACAAGCACTTTTCTGCTAAGACTCCTCTACTCCCCTTTTTGCGCTGACAGACTCTAGTCCTGCCTGAGAGCATTTCCGGACCACTGGCATGACAGGTGTACATCAATATGCCCAGCCATGGGGTGAGAAGGGTCCTCTAGAACTTTCCTGCCTAAGCAGGCTTCATTTGACATTCCAAAGTCAGTCCTTCCTAACTTCCCAAGTAGCTACCACAACAAGGGAAAGCTACTGCAACCTGGCCAGAGCAAGCTGTGTTCCCGTGTTCCTTCCTCCTCCTCCTCCCCTCTTCCTTTCCCTTTTTTTGGGGGGGAGGGGTGCACCAGGGATTAAACCTCGGGCCTTACTCAATCACGTAGAACTTTCAACCTCTGGAATTGATTAGAAATTTTTTTTTTTTTGTGGGGCTTGAACTCGGGCTTGGGCACTGTCCCTGCGCTTTTTAGCTCAAGGCAAGCTCTCTACTGCTTGAGCCACAGCACCGCTTCTGGTTTTCTAGTGTTTTATTAGAGATAAGAGTCTCACAGACTTTCCTGCCTGGGATGGCTTTGAACCGAGATCCTCAGATCTCAGCCTCCTGAGTAGCTAGGATTACAGGTGTGAGCTACCTGCACCGGCTGTCAATTCCTTCTTTATCTCTTTCTTTTTTCCTTTCTCCTCCTAGTACTGGGGCTTGAATTCAGGGCCTCACCCCTCTATTTGCTCACAATGGGTGCTTTACCACAGGAGCTATGCCTCCAGTTTTTGCCAGTTAACTGGATACGTCTGTAAGTCTGACTTTTCAGTTTAGTCTGGTTTCAAATTGAAATCTTCCAAGTCTTAGGACCCTCCCCCTTCCTCCCCTCCCCACCCCCATACCAGTAGCTAGGATTACAGGTGTGAGCCACTGGTGCCTGGCTAAGTATTTCTTTCAAATGAGAAAGTGGAAGATACAAATTAATGACACACAGTGCCACACATATTCAGAAAAATAATACAATCTTTTGTATTTCAAGATGTAGTCTCACTGTATAGCTCAGATGGGCCTCAAACCCTCAATCCTCCTGCCTCAGCCTCTGTAATTACAGATGTGACCAACATACCTAGCTTACACTTATTAACCTCTTTTAGTAACCACCAGATGTCTCTCTTTTTTTTTTCCCACTGTACTTTTTGTTTTGTTTTTTCTTTTTTGAAACTGAGGATCAAACCCAGGATGCTGCGCTTGTAAGGCAGGCGCTCTGCCACTGAGCTGCCCCTCCGCCCAGGGACACGTCTCCCTTCCTTCTGACATTTTTTTTGGCTGAAAATGCTCGCTGCTTTTTCACAGTACAATGGTTCTGTAACATCATCTTCTGTATCAAGAACAGGAAGACAACTATGGTCTTTCTACTCCCAAACGATCACAAACTTTTGTTTTTAAACTTTGAAGGAAGTTTCTTTCAGCCTAAAATGTCAGCCTAAAAGGACAGGGACACTTTTAGGTAGGAACACTTATAGTTTGGTAAAACGCTGATTCAGATCCGTCTGTCTTTCTGTCTGTCTGTCTTGTCTCTCTCTCCTCTAACACAGAAGCATTTTAGGGCATTTCAAGATTTCTTCTCATCCTACCAGATGAGCTGTGATAGCATTCTTGGTGGATGTCATTATTTCCCAACAAATCAGCAGGAAATGTGTCTTCTGCTATCGCTTGTCTGAGTCACGCCTCTTTAGTAATGAAATGATGAAGCAATCTAAAGTCCTGTCTATGGCTTGGAATTTTTCAATATAGAAATTTTGGTAAAGGCTGAAAATGTATTATTCCCATCTTCCTGTTACTGGCAGAGGCACTTTCTCTCAATCCTTTGGGTTTTTTGGGTGCTGGAACTCAGCTTGACTCGATCTTGTTTGGCTTTTCATTCACGGCTGAGGCTCCACCACCTGGGCCAGGCTTCCAGTCCACCTACTGATTCTATTACTCAACTTTCAGACTTCCGTTTCTTACATCCTTTTATTTTTTGGTATGGTAATCAGATTTGAATTCAGGGCCTTAAATTTACTAGACCAAGTGTCCTATCACTTGAGCCATGCCTCTGGCTCATGACGCTTTAGTGACTCTTCAGATACTGCATTTTTTCCCAGTCTCGCTTCAGACAGACTTTCCTAAGGATAGCTCCTGTTTTAGCTGAGATTGCAGACAGACATAAACAGCCACTGCTGGCTTGTTTTTGAGATGAGGTTTCACCTTGTGCCCTGGTGAGCCCTTAACCACAATCCTGTCTGCCTCACTTGGAGCAGGGGACTGCAGGCATGCCCCACTACACCAGGCCAAGTCTATTCACGTTATTTATTTTTATTTATTTATTTTTGTGTCAGTTGTGGGGCTTGAACTCTGGGCTTGAGCCCTGTCACTGTATGCTTCAGCTCAAGGCGAGCACTCTACCACTTGAGCCACAGCCCCACTTCTGATTTTCTGGTGCTTCATCGGAGATAATGGACGTTCCTGCCCGGGCAATCCTCAGATCTCAGCCTCCTGACTAGCTGGGATGACAGGTGTGAGCCACCAGTTCCAGGCTAAGTCTATGCACTTTAATATGATCCTCTCCCCTCAGATTCTGTCTTTAATAAATAAAATGAACAACTGCAAAACAGGTCTTGTTCAGAAGCATTCAAATTAGGGGTTTGCTGATTTCCCACTTGTTTCAGTGAAATATTCTAAAAAAAAAAAAAAAGTCTCTAAACTGCAATTAAAGAGGACATAATTGAACTTAAACACAGTTCGCAATAAACCTCTTTTCATTGGTCATGCTGAGGTTTCTTTTCTGGTCTTGGAAATTGTGTTTCCGAGTGGCTAGACTCCTGGCGTGACCCTGCTGCAGAACTTGAAAGTGTTTTAACAGGCTCAACAGAAAGTTTAGGTTGGCAGGTTTTTAAAAGATAGTCGGAATAAAATCGAATCACTGACAGCTCTCTCCTGGCCATGCTTTTTATGGGAGGTGCCAAGGAGCATAAGCCTACTTGGGGGGGGGGGCGGCAATTTAAGGGATGGTTCCCTGGGAGGGGGTTGAGGCCTGGAAGCTCCATCTTGGGGGACACAACACAGAGAGCTGGGTCTACTCTCCCTGAACAGATTGGCCCTGAGGCAGGTCGGGCACGGCTCCTGTGATTCTCCAAGCCCTTTGGAGAGGGAGACCAAGTGGCTGAAGGGAACATTGTGTTTTCTTGGAAACGGCACAGTCTCTTCCACGTTAAATGGTCCAGGAGAGGTTAGCGGCAGAGGTCGCCCATGGGAGCCTCCACCTGCCTCTGGCCAGACTGTAGAGCTGCAATACTGGAAAACCAGGTCATTTCCCAGAAAATTCTCTCGATCACATGGAAGATCTAGCAACACCTAGGCCTGAATTCTTACAGGGCAATAATCAGGACCTAGAGAATCACATGCACTAACCCAACTCTGGTTCCACAGGGCTGGGGTGTGTGTGGGGGGGGGGTGCGGAGAGGCCCTGGAACAGAGGGGTTTTGGATACCATCTGGAGGAACTCCCAAATCCTACAAAACACCCCAGACACTCACTGCCGTGTCCTGCGTGAGTGAAAAAAGGGTCAGGCGTCTTAGGGAAGCTCATGGGGAACACCCATCCTGGTAATTGGGAAAAGCCTGGGGGATCAGAAGCCGGGGAGATCTCTGATACTCCTAGGTGGGCAGTTCTTCAGCGAGTTGGGAATAAAGCAGAGAATTGTGTAAAAACAAAAGAGGACAGAAAGAAGACTGGTGCATGTGACCCCCGGGGGGGAAACTGAGGCAGGCCGGGGATTCAACCCAGACTTTTCAGTTGGTGGCAGGACATCGAACCTCAGGATGTCCGGGTGCTCCGGACCTGGGGTCTCGCCGAAGCCTTCCGGCCTCC